TTATTTTAAAGTGCTCATATTATTCTTGCTTGTTTGTCTCCTATATTTTATTGAGTTTTTGTGTATTTCACATAATACATCTTAATCAAATTTAGACCTCCTTCCCCTCCCTGCTCTCCACAGCCATACCCACCAGATTTCAGGTATTCTGTCATACATGTTAAGTCTTATCTGGCCCAGCATTTGTATCCAGATGTCCCTCAGTGAAAGTCAGACTATCTAGAGTCACTCCCTTATGTTGTATAACATCATAAATTTATATTCTCTTAGTTCTATGAAATGTAAGTGCTTTAACTCTAGAAGACAAAATTAAGGATTTCTTTATCCTGACCCCTCAGCTTCAAGTTGTATTACAGAGCCTGTTGTATTATAGTAAACACTCTGATAGTAAAATGACCGAAGACTTTCTCGAGGAGGTGGATGTGAACTGGACTTAGGAGAAAAGTAAGCATAAATTTATATTCTCTTAGTTCTATGAAATGTAAGTGCTTTAACTCTAGAAGACAAAATTAAGGATTTCTTTATCCTGACCCCTCAGCTTCAAGTTGTATTACAGAGCCTGTTGTATTATAGTAAACACTCTGATAGTAAAATGACCGAAGACTTTCTCGAGGAGGTGGATGTGAACTGGACTTAGGAGAAAAGTAAGGTGCAGAGGTGGCATAGGAAGGGCACATTAAGAAAGGGGCACTAATCAGGGCCACGTATAAGTCTTGATATGATCATATAGATACATTGAAATTAATAGAGATGGCACTAAGATATTGGGAACTCCTGGTTGTTTTGCTCAGCGGGGGGCCCAGCTCTGGGAACAGAGACTGATCAGCACAGTGTAATAACTCTGGGACTTCAGCTTTATTCCCTGATAAGCTACAAACTAACATTATTCTCTAACACCAAGTTTATATACCAAAGAGGGGCTAGTGGGTATGTGCAGGGTTCAGGGTGCATGTGAAGTTCATTCCAGACAAAGACAAACGGTGCTCATATTACATGTCACATAGGTTGATCAGTCCTTAGCATGGGCAGAGGGTCATTTGTACAAGACCAGGGAGTGTGTCAGAGCTATTACTAAGATGCCTTAATTTTAGTTACATACATACTTGGTGTTATTGATTAGGCTGTTTTTCACCTCTAGATCAGGAAGTCAAGATGTTTTCTCAGAACAAAGAGACTGTAAACCTTTAATCTGGCCAGCTGCCTTTTGCTAGTCATTGCAGTGTTCCACATGAGAGCGCTGTGAGACACTGTTTTCAGTGCCTCGCCCTTTAGCAGAGGCTGCAGCCTGTTCAAAAGTTCATGCCTAACTTGTCCTGAGTCCAGCCATCTTGGTCTCCAACGCATGGTGGTCCACACCTTTAGTCTCAGCACTCTGGAGGCAGAGGCAGGCGGATCTCTGTGAGTTCAAGGCCAGCCTGGTCTACACAGTGAGTTCCAGGTCAGCTGGGGCTACAGGGAGACCCTGTCTCAAATAGACAAAAAAAAGAATAATACCAATTACCC